TTTCTTTTTTTCCTTTTTCTTTTTCTTCTTCCAACTGCAGCGAGGGCCGACCGAACCTCGCTTACCACTAAGCAAGGGCCGTGAGGCCCTCGCCGGTCACGGGCAAGGGTCACAGCCCTCACCCAGATTTGGTGAGGGCCACGAAACCCTTGCTGGACACAGGCGAGGGTCGCGGCCCTTGCCTAGACCTTGCGAGGGTTGGTTGGCCCTCACTTGTGACCAGCAAGGGTCGACTGACGCTCACTAGACTTGGAAGAAGAAAAGAAAAAAAGAAAAAGCAAAAAACAAGAAAAAAATAATTAAAAAATTGAAAAATATTATTAAAAATTGTTTATGTTAGTATCAGATATACTATATAGGACGGCTGGCATCCACGTTAGTGATTTCCGGCTAAATTGGCCGGATTGACTCAATTGGCATAATGTGAAAATGTTTAGGATTTAATTAGCAAAATTGAAAGGTTTAACACTGAATTGGTAAAAGTGCAATAGGTTTATGACTTTTTAGACAATTTTCCCAATAAAAGACTCTTGATGGACCAAATTTTTATTACATGTATAGCTGCGGCCCTTTGCTTTCCTATAAACCCTTGTATTTATCAGAAGAGAACCACACACAAGAGATAGGTGTATGGTCCACTTATTGATTGGAGATTTTGATTGAAACACCAATACATGGATCGCAATCATTCCGTGAATGTTACAACCACGCATGATCTCACCACAATCTAATCATCAAGATTGATTTCAACGTAAGCAACAATTGAAAAAGACTGATCAATGATCGGGCGCAGTCATTAGGTATTATGTGGACTATGCATTCTCTTGGTCTTTTCTTGAGAAAAGGAGTAACAAAAGATGAGAAATTATGTTGCTCTTGACCTTCATATGCTTTAGCTCAACCTTATCCAAGAGACCCACATGAAGGAGAAAGGACTCGTATGATTGAATAATTGCGTGTTTTGAAAGAATGGAGTCAAGTAATCAAGGAGATTCCAGTAAAGATCTCAAAGTTATCTTTGTATTGAATAGCAAGAACGCAAACGCATGTGCATGAAAAAAGCAAAAGAAAAAAAAAACGATTTTTTTTTGTCCCTTGAAGAAGTTAGTACAGACAATTCCAATGAACAATACACCTTCTATGTGAAACTTTTTTCAATGATAAATACACTTTTTTTTTTCTTAATGATATCCAAGAAAAGAGTCTATAGGTAGGTGTTCATAGAATCATGCATTCAAATTGATAATGCTGTCACTATCATATCTAAGGGTGGTCCCATCTTTACTATTCATGTGCATGCAATGTGCATATTATTTGGTTCAGCACTTGGAGGTCTCAAGTTGCATTCACCAATTAGAACCAATCATTTCTCCCCCCCATTTTCATCCTTACCCAAAACCATTAGAAAAAAAGGAAAAAAGCCAAAAGAAAGGTCACCTTTTGATCCTTTCGTGTTCATATTGGTCCTAATAAGCTTTTCACATTATTATCTGCATTCACGGAACATCTGAACATACTTGAATTTGACCTAGTCTCCATGAGCCCTCATACAATTATTTTCTTGTGATTTTGTCTCGACAAATAAGTACTAAAAACATAGAAGCAGCTCATGACATGTCCCTTCTAGAGAGCCCCCACTTTGTCCTGGCCTTCTCTATTTTTTCTTTTCTTTTTTTCAAATTTGACCTTGTCTGCATAGGCCCTTATACTATTATCCCTTCTAGTTTAATGTAACTCAATATGAGTTTTCATTTTCCTGTGCTAATTCTCTTTGATAAGGGGGCTTCTATTCAAGTAGGTGGGAGGCCTACAAATCCAAGGCCTTTTCATGCAATAGAATTTTACAACTAGATGATCGGGTTCAGGTCATAGCACCTGAAATTTACATATCATTAGATTTTAGGGTTTTCGGGAAAGAATAGTGAGACGATCCAAAATCCTGTTTCAACCTCATGTTTGCTAGCGAATACAGCCTAACTTGCGATTTAGATTGATTAGACTAAACGCCATCGCTATTCTCCCGACAGATAAGACTTTAATTAATAAGTGGAAGAAGAAAAAAAGGATCACTGCCGCTTGTTTGATGCATAAACTAATAGATTATCTGAGATTTTCTCCCTTTTAGGGTTAGTGCTTCCTTTAAAAAGAAAAAGGTTAATCAAATACGATTTAAATCCTTGAAATCTCAGTTATTATCTGAGCGACTTGATCCTCTGAACCTCCGTTGTGGTATCAGGTCTTTTGACTCATTAATTTACACAATCGAATCCTTCCGTGACTTGTCGGTGACAACTTCATTGATTCGCTTCCGTAGAACTGCTAATGTGGGAGGAGAAGAAAGAGAAGGAGCCTCTCCATGGCAAAAAGTTCCTACATGCAGTCAATACATGTGAGTTCATTGCATCTCAAATATTAGATTGTGTAGATTTCATATGGGTTAGACTAAGACTATTTAATGATTGATATGAAGTGGGATCACATGCATCAAACGTATACAAAACCTGCTCCTCCATGGTTAATAAGTGATGGCCAATCCTCGCCAGCTAAGACTTAGAACTAATGCATGTGAGTCATTTGGCCCTCGCGAGCAGCGGTTAGGGAATAGTCACAACCCTGACATTAGCCCGGGGTAAGCAACTTTATGATGCCCTTCCCCAAACTCAAACTTTTTATGTCTAGGAAGCTCCATGCCACATCAACATCGAAGTTTTTTTTTAATAATTTCGATTAGAATAATTAAATATTAAACCACGCTTTTATCTAACAGTTTAAGCTTTTAGAATAGTTGGCAGTGGTCCTACCAAATCTCACATGGTATAGAGCTAGAGTTCTGAGTTCAAGTCTTTCCAAACCTTATTTGCCTCCTCAATTAAATACGTCCATGATTAATATAGGGTAAAAAAAGACCAAAATAAACGTAAGGGGGAGTATTAGAACACTTAAATATTAAATTACGTCTTCATCTAACAGTTTAAGTTTTTAGAATAGTTGGCAATAGTCCCACAAAATCTTATAATTTTTTTAAATAAAAAATTAATCATAGTTACCAAAAGTAGGTAACAAAAGAAACCGATTCTACGAGTTAAACAAGAAGACTAAATTGCAATTAAAAAAAGACTTAAGAGAATCAAATCCCACGTTAATTGAGAATCAACGATCATTATGGCTTATGGGGCTCACTTTTTCTTTCACTATGTCCTTTTTAGGACAAAATCGTGAGGCACACGAGTTAAATTGGACAATACCTCGTGATGCGACACAAAACTATCTTCCTTTATATTTTTCTTTTTCAGAATTTTCTTCCTGAAAAGTTCTTCTTTTATCATCTTATTCGACTTTTAAATTATATGCACCTCCTCTTGCACATTGATAATAATTGAAAATGGATTTTCTTTCCCTCTCTTCAAATTAACATGAAAATCTTTGAACTCTTTCTTTTTGTTCACTTCTTACACCCCCCACAGATTTCTCCAAACCAAACAAGCAGCTACAAATCTTAAGAATTAATTGATTGGCCATCAAGAGGGTCCACCTAAACCAAGAAGTGCCCTAGCATGTGGGTTCTTTTGAGTGTTCAACTTGAAGAAACCCTACAAACACACACCATGTTTTCTTATGAAAGAGTAATTGTCATCATCAGAAGGCAATTTCCCTACATGTGAGTGCTTGTCCGGTAGATCTCCCACATTTCCAGTGGCCACAGGAGCATTTCATGTCTGTTTCTTTGTGCTCACCAACAGCAAACCCTGCCCCTCTAGACTCAAACTCATACAAAAGCCTATGCAGTTCCATCAATTTGGTTTTAGATCTTCTCCACCAACGATTTTCTGTATTATTATTTTCCCATGAAGTAGAGCAAAGTCTTGTCTTGGGTTGATGATTAGAACATGACCATTTACTCAACAAAATTTATATGATAAATTAAGGATATCTACCTTTTTTAGTTAGCAGATGAAAAATTCCCTCATTGTGCAATAAAAAACATGATATCATAATATGTAGTAGACCTTATCTCCCAAAAAAGCAAATAAGTTGTGACATGTCACGATCTCAAAAGAGAGTTAATTCAGTCAGTATCCAAGTTCATAAAGAGTACGGCCTATTAGTAGTAGTTTGTTTAATTTGGCAAAGTACTTCAAGAGCTAAGTCTAGAATTGTCAAGAGAAAATTGCCTCCTTGAATTAATATGTCATTCCATCATTAATTGCTGGTGGAAGTGTGTATTATATAGTTGGCAAGTCGACATTATAACATTATCCTAATGTGATGTTTTTCTTTATCCCTGGTTGGAGGAAGTTTTGATTGGTAGAAGGGTATCACCCACACTTATTTGTAATGAAGTTTGCATGTGGAAAATGTTGATATTTATGACCCATTAATCAAACGTTTGGTTGGAGGATGGAATAATATAGTCCTTTCTCCTATTGTTATATAGAAAAAAAGTCGCTAATAATCTAAAAAATTTGTCAAGAAAGAGTGATTTCACTCATCAAGAAATGTGAATTCCATGTTTTATTCTTAATTACTCAACAAAATATCTTGAAATTAACATGTGGAGCTAAAAACCTAAAAGATGAAGATCTCCACCAGACCTTGAGCAATGAGATTTCTCAACATAAGCATTGTACTTGAACTTTCCCATCACTCTTGCTAGCTCCAACGGTCACATTAGCTCCAATTGACCAAATCGTGAACCTTAGGGATTTTGTTACAAGAGTTATGCAAGTTCAAGGACTTGATTAGATATATCGAAAGTTCAAGGACTTGATTCAAAAACATGTGAAAAGGTAAGGGACCAAAAATAGAATGTTACCTTTAAGATAAATGCACACTTGCATTGAGTGTATATCTTGTGGCTTCTAGCCGCAAGGACACTCGGCTGAGCAGTTTCTGCCAAGCCATGTGGATCAAATAATTTATTCCAGAATTCACAGGTATCTCATCGAATTCTTCTATAAGTTTGGTTAGCCGCACGTATATATGCACATATAATGCGAATGTATCCAAATGAATTTGCTATATAATACGCACTTTTTTCTTCAACCATGATATCATATCCTCAATTGGATTGGCTCCATGCCCTGATTGTGCACAGGGTCAATGATTTCCCACATGGGGCCTTGTCTGTTTCTCCCGTCATCATATGAATGAATGTAAAAGACATGGATCAAACGAGTGATGAGAGATACCCTGCGATAATAATTCAAGAAAATTAAAACATTATTAAATGAATTGGACACGAAAAATCCGAAAGAAAAAGGAGAAAAAAATTGGAGGTGTCATCATAATTTATAGCCCTCACATGGCTTCCCACATGCAGCCTCTTGGTCTCGACTCTCATTTAAGGATTTTCCTCTGTACTCATCTAACTACTTCTTCCCCCTCCTCCATCTTCTCTTGCTTGCAATCAATCACTTGGCATCTTGTTGAATAAAAATGTGTTGTGTTCATGGGGATGAGCAACGCTCTAGATATTTATAGCCGCCACGAATTGAATATGGGAAGCTCAACCCTAACCATCCATGGATTGGATGAGTGATCGGGCATTTCATTCAGATGCGACAAATTTTGTTTCAAACCGTCATGTTCTACCACTCAAGAGTGATTTCAGAGGTGATTCCCGGCCCTATGTGTAAAGTCTTATGCGATGCATGCGAGTGAAGTGATCTGCATGCATATGTGAAGATTAGTTGAGTTGAAAGGTTCGGATATCCTATATTAAAAAAGAAAATGAAAGCTTGCCCTCAACCATCATTTATGTCCACCTTGGCTCTTATAGGATATGAACATCGTCCTCAGAAGAAAAAACTGATAAATGAAATTAGAAATAGAGGTCGTACATTAATATGGGTATTAGCTAGAGATAGTAAGAAGACGAAGACCGCTATCAATGTGTCACTACCATGTTGTCCTTAACCTGGGAAATCATTAGCATCATCCCAACTCACTTAACGCGAGCGTAAGATGATGCCTCAATTGCAATTGAAGCCTGTCCCATTAACCATGTCAATTAAACCTTGACTTTAAAATCATGATTTATTCACTCAAAACCCTAAAGATCTGCAAAGTACAATTTGCAAAAAATAATGTCATGCTGACAATTCATCTATTGTTGAGTCAGATTGGATCCTTGTACCGGTAATTGCAACATATCGATATCGCCTCTCAGTTTTGAGGCAAAAGTGATATCAGTGACTGCTAACCCACCGCCGGAATTCAATTATGTTGGAAAATCTGATGAGTCTAATGTGTCGTTGTTCCAATATATTTTGTTTGAGAAGGTGGTTAAACAAGTATTGATTGGTTTGAAAATCATCACCCATCTTCTCTAGATTTGACTACTTTTTGCTGGAACCTTAATCCGATCCATGTGCTGCCATATTAGTCTAAACCTAAACTCATTGAATGGCTATTCCAATATGAGACGAACACTACGTCTCTTTTTCAAATTGGCCGTCCATCAATCTCGTATGTTTTCTTGGCCAAACCCTACTTCCCATTGGACCCCATTGGGACAGCGGTATATGTATTCCACTTCTGTGATTCTGTGGACCGGTTTGGAAGTTACTGAATTCTCTAGTCTTGAACTTTATGTTATTAAAATTGGCTCAATCATTTGAAACTCAACCACCCATTGTAACTTCCAACTCCCGCCATATTAAATCTTCTTGGAAGGGCGATATGTTGGCCTTGGCCCATGAAACCCTAAACGCGAAATTACTTGCTACATGCATATTTGGGTACTATATATTTATATATTATGATTGAATATGGAATTGTTTTAAATAATCGTTCGAACTCTATTGAAGGGCCTTTGGTGAAGAGAGTTGAATACACTGCAAAAATCAAAAACAAAAAGGAGTGAAGAGAGATCAGAGAATCTGAAATACCAAAAGACGAGGAGTGTGTATTTATAATATGATGGCAAGTAAGAGCATTGCATGTGAGCTTCGGAGCATTTTACAATTGTGAAATCTTATCAGATAGCTAATATTACGTGAAATACTCATAAAAAAATATTTGGAGAATTCCTGGAAGTATAGGTCTGATCTATATAAGAAAAATATGGAAAAATTTCTGCAATGGTCAGTATCTCTGTGATCTTCTCCATGCAAAACCAATCTATTCTTGCCTATCATTCGTACGCATGAACGCATGTCTTTCGCATGAGAGAAATTTATTCAAGTACTAAGAACAATGCTAGAGATATTAAGATCGACGCACAGAATTGGATTACTAAATGATACGGCAAACACTGTTAGATGCTTAAACGGGTGCACTAGTTTAAATAACCATCTACTGTTTGTTCGACCACCACTTAATCAACCCATTTAGTATACCAATCTCAGTATCTCTAGCCTTAATCATCTGCTAATTAGGCTCAACTACAATTAAATGGTGGTTACTGCATCCAACATATTGTACTTGATAAGAATACGGGTGCTTTTACAAGCTCTCGGGGAATTGTTTTTGGTTCCTAATGCTTGATAATTGATTAGACAGACGATGAAAACGCATGAACTAAAACCACCTAATAATTTATTGTCCGATAGGGTTTATAGTTACCTAACATTTATATGAGCAGGTCTTCCATAAACAAAACAAGAAAAGAAAATTGAAGACAGATGGGACAAATAACCAAAGCACGAACCTATGGCCAGACCGGGAACCTCAAAAACACATTGGCACATGAGACATGTAAGGAAAGCTTGAACATGCCACTCTAGGAAGTTTGGCCTTTGGTGAGGCCCTCCTAGTGGATCAAATGTTGAAGTTTTTGAAGTTATGTCCAATTCAGTCCTTCGAAACTCAAATTTGGTATATAGAGAAGAAGTTGGTATTGAAGAGGAGGACAAGACAATACAATGGATAAGTTGGAGGACCCACCATGTGGGATTGTCCAATGAATCATCCAAATGAGATAGGTGTCCTGAAATTTTAAGCTATTGAGAATGACTTATGAGCTTGTGAACACCATGGACTCGGCTTTGCACATTTATGGACTTGCTGAGTGGGCAATATGTGGATTGTTCTTCGGATGTACAATTGATTTTGTTGCTCATCAACAAAAGTAGAAAAGAGAACTTCTTGTAGATGCCGATTTTGCCCGATTTGCAATCAAACCAATTTATGTCACAATTTAATTTGATGTATCTTCTTCGGAGTATCGCTAATGAATTTCCTCTCAAATTTACCGAAGCGATCAAATCATATGCCCGGCATCAAGAGTACTTTGGTTTTGTCACATATTATTAAGCAGGATCATCCGAAATTGTATTATCTAGAATATAGGTTATTCTAGATTGATAAGTTGTGCTAAATTAGATGAATCATATCATTCCTTTCATTCTTAGTTAGTTGAATTCGATTGAGTTAAATAAACTATATCACTTAAAAATAAATTTAAGACATTTTTCGTCTACTCTTTTTGAAAGTATAATCCTCACAAGAGATGGAGTTTGTGGACTACAAATCAATATCAAATATTGTTAACTCAGGCTTTTCACTGGAAAAAAAAAACAAAAAATACATTATCTCCAAGGTGGTTTATTGGGCTCGGGTTCACTTTTTCGAGGTCTAGTGGTCATGTCCCTAATTTTAAAAAATAAAAAAGAAAGGAGGCAAAACGGAAATTCCTAATCAACTTGGTAGAAATTTGAAAAGTTGAACATGTTGATGCTACCCTCATGTGGCATACCTAAATGCGGGCTGCACCCAGTTGCATAGTGCCGTGGAAGAAAAACGAAATGAAGGCCCAAGTATGTTGCAGAAATGGGCCTTTGCTTTGCAGGAACTGTAAACTTCACTTAAGGCTCCATTTATTTAAAAAAAATGAATAATTTGGAAAAAAATATTTCTAAAAGTGATTCTTTGTATCGTTTACAAAAATGAATGAATGGAAAATATTTTCACCCTCCATGAAATGTTTAGATATAAATTATTGTCAATAATGAAAAAAATTTCAATTAATCAATTATTTCAAGCTATGCAAATAATAATTTGTAGGAAAATATTTTTCATATCATTTATTTTTCGCTATTTATCAATAACATTATTATTGACATTAGTGACCAATTCTGATGCATATTCACTTGAACTTCTTTTGTCCCTCATCAAGCAGAAGGGGATGCATGGAAGGGCAGAGAGGTTGACTCGGTCAAATCTTTTTTTTTTAAGCTTTAGACTGCTAATATATCTATAACTTACATTTACATTATATTTATGTAAAACTTAAATTAATGCTAATGCAAATGAGCTTGTCTCACTTTGTTGGGAAAAATAATATCAAAATTTTATAAGATTCCCACATCAGCTTTCAAAGGAATTTTCCATGAGATAATTCGTTCAAGTTCTCTCATCCATCTCCCGTTATTCCTCTCTCTAATCAATTACAAGTTAGGAAAAATTACCAAAAAAGTTATAAATCTATTGCAATTATGTCAATTCAATCCAATCGACTCAATTGGTAAAAAAAGAAAGGATTAAATTAGCACAATTACAATAGGTTTAAAACTTTTTTACTAATTTTCTCAGTATTTTTGGGCTTGAATTACTGAGATTCTTCCTATGATCTCCCCATTAGTTCTTTCCATAGCGACTAACAGCATTTATAAGCTCTGTAAAAGCCATTGATCGTGTGATTAAGGGAGACATTAAACTCCTCAAGGGAACATGTCAACCTTTTCGACTTCATGTTTTCCTTGGATCGTTAGACCTCCTACATATGTCTCTCAGGTTGAGGTTGAGAAGATGATGAATGAGTACCTTACTTAGATTACATTCGCACAAGGTTCGACTTCGGCATGAGGCTTACTCGACGTGTCTCCGGCAACTTCAGTTGATAGAGAATGAGAAGAGACCAGTGTTCTTCCTATTGCTCATCCCAAGGGAACAATGTCGAATCACTATTTTGGGCTTGATAGCGAGTTTACGCGATTCACGGTGAGCTCGCAGGTAGATAGTTTCAAGTATCGGATCCCCTTTTTCAACTCATAATGTTGTTGATTAATTGGGCCTATCTTTACATAGATTCTACTTCATGGAAGAGAACAAATTTCTCCGGCTCTGCTAGGATGAACCGACGCCTTATTTTATTTTGAAACTGACTCCGGCTTTGTATCTGATGTTACTATGGATGATTGAAATCAAGAGAGATTTTTACCTCTCAGACCGCTCAATGCATTCCACCACATTAGTTCATAGACGAGTTCGACTCTGTTTGAAGTTTAAACCATGATTTTCCAGGAGCTAAAAGCTTCTGTTTGCACTTTTTCCACAGCTACAAATAGTTTCCATGTTCTCTTTATTCCCAAGAAGAAAGACAATAATATATTACCTCTTCTATCTGTTAAGCATACATTTGAGGACTCAGCAGTTAAAAGCATATGCATTGAGACAATATCATAGTACAATCTGACAAAATTTATTGCAAACCGAATTTTTCTAAAATCTGAAAATTTCCTATTACACATGAATATGCACTGAACAGCTTATTTTGCAAGTTGAAAATCTGAAAGCTGCATCAATGGAGCATACCCATATCTGTAGGGGAAAAGAGTCGTACTTTCTTATTGGATAAGGTGAACTCACCGAGTATATTATTTCAAGCACCTACTGAGAAGTTGAATCCATGACAGTTTGGGCATAATAGAACCTTCGAATCCACTAACTACAGTAAGGCTCAGATTTCGGAAAAGTCACTGCATTCGGAGGAAGAGTGGCTTCACAACAACAGATTGGAATGAGCGGAAGCTGTAGTTCTGGCCAACTTGCCCTTGATCATGGATCCTTGTGATTCTCTCTCTCTCTCTCTCTGTGGGCACATGCGCATATTCTACAGTAAGGTGAACAATCTGACAGTGGATGTGCCCAAACTTGGAAAACCTAGTGGCACAAACCACTCAGTTGGACTTCATCTCAATATCTTCATCCTCTAAGGTGGCATCAGAATCATCCTGCGGAAGGAGGCCAAGGAGAGGCAAGGGCAACAACGAGCTGAGATTGCACAGCACTATCAAAAAGGCCAAATTGTCAAACTTGTCCTTGGTGATACCAAAGAGCTGTGTCAGTCCAGCACCGATAAGCCCACCTACCACGCTCCCCCCATTGGATATGGACATGAGGGTAGCAAAAAGTGTAGCTTCCATTCCCTCTGGACATAGTCTTGCCGCCAGGACAAGGACAGGCATGAAAGAAGCCTACAACGTAAATATGAGGGATTAAATAATCTCTCCAATCTCTATATAATAAAGCAACCAAAAGGAACCTTCAACCTCAAACTTTTTCCTAGAAATTCCACAAAATACCCACGCCTTCTAAGGAAACAAACAATGATTACATATTACTAAACAATGGACAAAATAGTGATTTAAAATGTAAACATACTAATCGTGTTATCTAAGAAATCTCTTTTATACAGATTCTAAATTTAAGTAATCTTCCTTATCGTACAACAATTTAAATATATTCCTGAAATAACTCAATCCACATGTTCCCTCACCGTTATCACAAAAACTACGAGTGCAATAGGAGCTTCCGTCGACAAAAAGATCACCAAATTTTCCCTAGATACATCTATTCGATTAGCTATTACTGTAAAAGATCCCCTTTTAGTAGAGTTAGCGAAAGAAATCATTATCTACTAATACTCGTCATTTCTCCCCCCACTTCCGCGTAATAGTAATTCCTTTTCCTGTTTATCATATTTTAATGTGTGCCCTCTTTCCTAGTAACTCTAGGATAAATCACCAGTTCGTTAAGTCAGCAGTCAGCACCAGAGGATGAGGATAACGCACTGGTGTGAAAGCAATAAAATTAATGCATGTTCCTTCTGTTGTAGCATGATAGCTGATGCTATCACATGGAAGTCTAGCATTGGAAGATTCATACTAGGACGTTATACAATGATCTAACATAGAAAAGAAAGCTCAGAAGCAGCACAAGATATACAAGTGGCAACAGTATTTGTGCTACATATTAGGACATTTTAGGCACAAAAATCTGGTTATCCTGCACAAATGTGTACAAATAAGTGATTTTATGACCCAGGTGTTCTATTGGAGGCACTTCTAATGTTGACATGACATAACATGGATTTGAGAGATACGTGGCCACAGGATACAACATATTGGCCTTAGATATCTCAAGAAATGTATTTGGTCCTATAACTCAATGACTTTTATGATAAAAATTTGAAAAATAATTAATGAATTCAATTTTTCACTGAAAAGACAATATCCCAAAACTGCAGATTATCAATATCATGATAATTTCTTAATGTTCATGTCCAAGTACCTTCATATAAAATATTATACTAATTAGCCTATACCATAGTCCCCATTTTAGAGAAATAGACCAGCACCAAGGACAAAACATGTGGTTGACACCAGTATTTCTAGTCTGACTGACCTAGCACGCAAGTATTAATGTGTTTGGTGCACCGGGTTGTGTGAGGATGGCACATTATTAAGATAGACCAGCATAATTGAATGTGTTAGAAACTAGTTACCTGGCCCAGAACGGTCAATATTAAGGAGTCTCCAATTGCAAACCATTCATCGCTTACACCGAATTGACGGTTTAAGCCTTTCACAAGGAAAACCTAATGAAGAAAGAAAGCAAGTGATGAAACAAGCCTGGGAATCAAGGCAGCTTAATTTTAACTACATACAAGCACGACACCTGCCTGTGTCATCCCCAGCGCTGATCCGAATAATGTTGTTGCAACAAAGATCTTCCGTAGTGGAACCTTTTTCAGAAACCCGTTATAGAGTCCAACACCTAAAAGTGACGCAATGGAAGTAACAAGTTTGACTCGTCCAAGAAACTCCGGAGTGAAACCAAGTTTGTTTGTGCTGAATTCCCAAAAATGTCATCAAAATTGCCATCATGTAAGGAGATGAGAATCCCCCATCGTCTGGAAAGAAATTGTCGCAATTAAAAAGACCAATCATGTCTGAACTTACGTGAAGTAAAACATAGCCGAATCTGATTGTGGTGTAGCCTGCCAAAGAAAGATGAATAATGTGGGGAGAAGTACATTGGGTTGCTTCACTGCACCCCAGAGCTTTATAATATCCTCTTTTGACTTTTCCACAAAGCCAGCATTGGCAAGAGGAAGATTCTGTTTCAGTGCTCTTACTGAACCAACCACTGGCTGCTCTTTAACAAGAACAGCTACCGCAGACGTTATCAGAGGTAGCAGGGCTGTAAGACCAAATACAAACCTGTGAAACGAGATTGACATGCGAAAATTCAGTTTTTGAGATGTTAAAGAGGTTGCTTAAAGTGCAACCAGAACAAAGATTCAATATTAATTTGCCAACAAATGAAAGATTCACCATAAGCACCTTACGCCATATGCATCCACAAGGGACCCACTAAAGTAAGAGCTCACAATTCCACCAAAAGCTGAGGATCCCCAGCATAAGGACTGAAGGGATCCAGACATGCTTTGTGATTCACCACGGGCCCTCTCCACAACCATGGAATCCACAACCTACAGCATACTTCAATGTTTGGCATGATTTGTATGTATCCAGAGAAAACAACAATGGCAAATATTCAACTTAAAGCTAAGTATCTCTATTAGAATGATTTGATTGAGAACGTTCAGGTGGAAAACCCATATATTAAGAGTGACAAGAAGATGGAAACAACTCTGACAGGTTAGGCTATGAGAAGGCTGGTCGAGACATGACCTTTTTTACGAACAAGCAGGTTGGATGCAAGCCCAGTGTACTTGCTCATTTCCATTACAACTCAACTCCACTATAGTTTTGCATGCAAAAGCGGTTGTTGAGTACATGCTGGCCATGTGCATTGTCTAATTTCAAGGTAATGTAATTTCCCTTTGTGCAAGTAGCTAAGAAAATCTTAAATTAGCCATGTAGCCCTGTCATGCTCTGAAAAAGTAAAGTATAAGAAGGCATCCTGCAAACCAATCACTAGATTCTCATTGAATCATGTGAATTTCAACCACCAATTTCCGGAGGTACCCAGTTCCCAGAGTTCTACAGTTCACAGGCATTAAATCATTCCATTTGCTAATTTGTTCAGCTGTCATAGAAAATCATAGGCATCTATACGGCAAGCTAAAGCAACATTTTGGAGGCCAAAAAACATGTCATATCTATGGAAGTATGAAATTAAGGGTGGATACATACAACATCAGAGAAGGCAACAGAGAGAGATCCAAGCAGTATGCAGAATGCTGCACTGTATTTGCTATCAACAAAGGTGGCCATTAAACTCCATGAAAGTGCTCCCAGAAGCCCTGATAAAACCAAGTATGATCTTCTTCGGTAACCAAAAAGTGGGACAGAGTCACTGCAACAACAATCTAGTTTGTAAATAATTTCCCTAAAAATAAAAAATAGATGCAATTCTTATGAGAAACAAATGTGATCTGTTAAAACGAGATTAAAAGAAAAAATGCACCTGATAAACCCATATAGAGGTTTTATGAGCCATGGTAATGCAGAAAAACCAGATACGACAGCTGTCTAGTCAACCGCAAACAGAGTGTTAGTCCCCGTAAGAATCAGAGCAAATGGAAGCTAATCAGCTGCTTAAAAAGATATTCCTTGCTATTAAGATGCATAAAGACTAATAGATTTGCTAATGAATTGGCCGAGTCAAGACTAACCAAGGCCATAACAGACAAGAAAATCTTCTTAAGTAGGAAAGTACAGAGGTATAGACTATCAGAGGAAGCTCACGAGTTTCTCTCTTCATACTACTGGAACATACAAATTGAATGTGCTCAAAGGAGATCTAATTTTTCGTTAAGAATCCTCAAAAAACAATGACATACCTCTGCAGGATCTAGATGCAGATCATCTTTCAAATAAAAACTGACGGCGAGTCTTGCAAGGCCCAAGACACCTTGAACAAAATAAACCATCGCAACTGCAATATTGTCTGGGGACAAGTCGACCCCAAAAAACTTAATTGCACTTGTATAGCTGTTTTTCTTGCGAAGAACATTTTTACTGGAAGTGCTTGTTTCTTTGTCAGTTTTTGCTGTCAACGTATCCCCATTTCCTGCCCCTATTTTATCAAAGGAAACAGATAAGGAAAAAAACGGCATCAGAGCAGTAGTGTCATTAGGAAAGCAGCATCAAGTTTGTGGATATATGTCCGAGAAAGATTGGAACAAGCTAAATCACGTTACTGAGTAGTATCCGACAGCTGCCAAAATGAACAACAAAGAAAAAAGCCACTTCTCAGTGACCCTTCACGGAGGAGTCCACTTTTGGCATAAGTTGCGAAGCTAGCATCCCTTAACAAGTCGACACTTTTTTCCATGCTCGAAAAGATTGAGCAGTCGACACGATGTGCTTACATAGCAATTGAAATTATTCCACACAACCAAAAAGCAGCAGGTTTTACACTTCACTCAAACAGTATTTTACAATGCTGGAAGAACACTCTCATCTCTACTTGTGCAACTTCAACTAGATTAGACAGGTGACAGATCAGCTCAACTTAAATCAGAGATGAGCATGAGCAAAGATGATCGGCCAAGAGCACCAATCTGCCGCAGGATGAATTGAATTATAACCATCACCACTTGACCAGTAAACCCACAACAACTACATTGCCACTGTCACGTCAAGCAGACTCACAATTTCTTCAGAGCAACACAAACCCAACTAAGCAACCCATGATTGGGTACCAAACAAACATCCCAAATTCCAACTATCATCCTCGACCTACGCTCAACCAAAACCACAAATTCCTCAAAGAAAAGACAAACGGCGTCCATGACTGGGGTAAATTGGCGAAACCAATCATCGGAGAAGAAAAGACCGACGCTATGCAAGTTACCCATGGAATTCAGCAACAGCTCATGATCCTCGTCCCACCGGCGGCCGGCCCCCGCCGGCGGCGGCATCTGGACGGCGGTGGACATGTCGCGACCCGGCGGGTCCGGCGGGTTTCTCCGGCGAGCCCGTCTCCGGGACCGAGCGCCGAGGTTGGACGACCTCCTGCGGATGCGCGACGAGATGAGGAGAGCACGAGAGCGGGAGAAGGGGGAGAAAGGTGGGATCTTTGGGGAGGGCAGTTCGGAGAAGGAGAGGGTCATTAGGATTATTGCCATTAAAAGATGGAAAAGAGGTTTCCACTTTAATCTCTCCGAAATTCCGATGGCTTTTTTGTTTATTTTATATTTGTTGTCTCCCAGTCTCGTGGGTTTTGGATGGCTGGATTGACCGAATTGTCCTCCTCTCGTGAGATTTTTCATGGATGGACTTTGGTCGCGAGGCTCAATTAGAATCGGCCTCCTTCGTGCACAAAAAAGAGTGAATTTGACTGCGTGCACAAAAAAGAGTGCTGTTCAATTTTGGAACATGCCCCCGTTGCTGTCAATGTTCTCAACGATATCATCGTGTATTCTGATTTTGGCATCCCAAGACCCACGACATTGTACTCGATTTTATTCATAGCTGCACTTAAGTAGTATACCGATTTCTGATCGATGACACATTGAAATGAATAACCGAAATTCATAACCCATTCGAAAACCTTCAGTATATCTAGAACATAATCAGCAATATCTGAATTACTATGAGCAATAGCTATAATATCATTTATAGACTCAATTCTAATTTCCTTACCCTTTTTCTTCTTTAGCTTAAGGTAATCCCTTCTAACATGCCTCATTTGCCATATTAACACACAACACCACCAATCCTAGATTGATTTCGTCTGTTCAGTTTCATACTACTTCTGATAACATGAGTACAGCAAGGGATTTATATCTAATGATAAAAGGTAAGTGATATAGAAGAAATACGGGATAAGAATTGCCCAAGTACAATAACTTTCATATGGTGCTCACTTGAGGGCCACAACTATTTTTTCGTTCACTTAAGCACCACATTGAAGTAAAATCAATCATTTGGTGCCACTTCCCGCAAATTGTTCTACGCGAATTTTTTGTATTTTTTTTGTAAATTGTTTTATTATTATTTTTTGAATTTTTTATTTGCCCTTTTTCTCTTTGTTTTTTTTTTTCGCCAACCATAAAGGCCTCACCCTCTCCGCCAGGCCTGTGAAGGCCCTGGGCAAGGCCATCGCCAGTTGCGAGCGAAGGCCTTCGCGGCAAGGCCACCATGGCCCTAGGCGAGCAGGCCATGGCGGTCGCTATGCCCGCAGCAAGCGAGACCCTGATAGCCATGGGGCCCTCGCCTAGGGCTATCGCACCCTGGCCAAATCTGGGCAAGGCCAGCGACAAATTTTCCAGCGAGGCAAATTATCAATGGCACTTAAGCGATTGATTTTTTAAATTTCTGGTCATTAAGTGATCAATTTTTCAAATTTGTGGCACTTAAGTAAATGAAAAAAAATTATAAAAATTATCTACGTAAGTGCCAACAGTACCACGTAAGACGACTGGCATCCACATCGGATTTTCCGGCGAGGTAAATCGCCGATGGCACTTAAGGGTGTGTATGGTAACATTTCCATTCCCCAAAACAATTTCTGTTCATAAATAGTTTTTTCTATTTCTATTCCCTAGACGAGTTTCTGAGTAGAATAATGCGTTTGGATATTGATGATTGAGATGACTGTTCATTATATGTGCGGATAATAATTATATTTTCTCTATTATGATAATAATTGTATGCATCTATGTTCCTTGATGTATATATTTGTCAATGCATATGATGTTTGATCTACCCAACTCAAGCTTTATTGCACATTTTTTCTGTTCACATGTGCATGTCGGATAGGTTGTTTGAAATTATGTTTCATGCCTAATATTTGTAGTGAACTTGTGCAAAAATGAGTTGAATTGCATATACATTATTAATGCCTTTTTGATTATGATAAAAAGGGGGAGATGTTTGATGAATATACATATGTGTTTGAGGGAGTATTAGTTCACTTGATGAATTTCATTCCTATTTGCAACTCATATGATTAACTTGTAGAAGCATGAGCTATTAATAATTCTTATTCTTAGCTCATATTGATTCTACTTGCTATCTCTTGATTATATTCATTGAATATTTTGATATTTGAAGATTGCATTGTGTGCTTATTATGCCCTGATCCGAATTCCTTTTTTTATGGCACGATAAGCAAATGTGTTTTACTTTTCACATGTACAAAATTCAATATCTTTTATTGCGTGGTAAAACATATGCATATTCAGATTTTTTTTGTCATAATAAAAAAGGGGGAGATTGTTGGGCTAATCCCCAATGTTATATTGACGATGACAAAGATAATCAAAGGCTACTAATGTGTATATTGATTGAGTATTACTAGGTAATATATGCACAAGCCAATATACGGATGATGTCATAATGAGCATCAAGAGATTCTAATATGAGAAATGAATATACATATGTGTTTGAGGGAGTATTAGTTCACTTGATGAATTTCATTCCTATTTGCAACTCATATGATTAACTTGTAGAAGCATGAGCTATTAATAATTCTTATTCTTAGCTCATATTGATTCTACTTGCTATCTCTTGATTATATTCATTGAATATTTTGATATTTGAAGATTGCATTGTGTGCTTATTATGCCCTGATCCGAATTCCTTTTTTTATGGCACGATAAGCAAATGTGTTTTACTTTTCACATGTACAAAATTCAATATCTTTTATTGCGTGGTAAAACATATGCATATTCAGATTTTTTTTGTCATAATAAAAAAGGGGGAGATTGTTGGGCTAATCACAATGTTATATTGACGATGACAAAGATAATCCAAAGGCTACTAATGTGTATATTGATTGAGTATTACTAGGTAATATATGCACAAGCCAATATACAGATGATGTCATAATGAGCATCAAGAGATTCTAATATGAGAAGTGTTCTATTGATATCGAGGACAAATTACGCGTTTTATAAATCCCAAAAATGGGAGGAATTGGGTGTTGAAGTCATATCTCAAGTTGGAATGATCTTCGGATAAGGTGAACATCTCGAAGGACCATAATTGAGGGTGAACAAGTCGAGAAGAACGGGGATGTTCGGAATGTTTTAAGGGTACCAAGATTGGGTGAAGATGAATAGCTTGGTAAAATCGAAATTGCCAATATACTTGGAAGCACCAAAAGAAATATTGGCATCGTTATTAGGAGCAACAGATTGTCAGCAGGAGCAACAGACTGTGGCATCCTCTTTCCAACCTCAATCTAGTGTCTAATGGTTATTTTCAAGGTTTGGAATTCGAAAAAGAGCACTTGAGTTGATCAGGAGCAGTTCTGGTATTTATGCGCAAGGGACAAACTCTGACAAAAGTACAATAACACTATTTAAGGAGATTACCATTGTCAAAGAGATGTTGCCAATGTTAGAGAGCCGTTTTGACTATTCTGAGCGACGTTTTACTTTTGTTATTGGTAGAACCAATGGCTAATTGAGGATTTCAATGGGGAACAGTCATATGAGGATGGATGGCTATATATTGAGTCAAAGAGAAGTAATTATGTTGGGTGGAAATAAACAAAACAAGTCATGCGCTTTGAGTGTTCTTCTTTGCTTTGTTTTTGTTGTTAGGTGTTGTGTATTCTTGATGTCAATGTTTGTGTGGTCCTAATGTTTGTAATCAGAGATAAGAGTCAGTGTACAAGTGTGATAGCAGTACGTGAGTCCTGATAATGTGATTTATTGGAAAGGCGATACTTGCTATCGTAATTTTTCTTGAAGATTACTAGTGGATTCCAACCTTATTGTAGCTGTTAGTATTAAGAGTGGACATAGGTTTGGAGATAAAGCCGAACCTCTACATATATGCTTGCAATATCTTTTATCTCTTCACAATTAGCATTACCTATTCATTAGCATCACCACCTATTCATCAGTAGCAAGCGCACTTGATTTTCATAATCTGTATATGCTGCTATTTGAAGTTTAACTTGTTATATTTCACAAATGTTCTTCATAGTTCCCAAAAAACCTATTCACCTATCTCTAGGTTGTATTGTTAACCCAACACAAATCTGGTTCCAACAGTGCGCACTAAACTTTAAAATTTCACCCCGACCAAATAGTAACCCCAAGTTTACTTCCATAAAATCCCTCCGTTCCACAACACTTTAAGTTTCATTACAACATGATTTCAAAGCTCAACAACCTTTACAATCGACCCAGCAACCTAAAAGCCAAAGAATTGAAATTATAGCTTATCCAAGAAAATTTCTTCAATTGGATAAATTTAAGTCTTTGATTCTTATTGTGCGCTTTGCAATGATGTTAATCCGACGCGTAACATGTGTCCGGCAGGGTGGGAAGCTTGAACTAAAACTCTCTCTCTCTCTCGGTCACTTCTCTTTTCTAGTTTTCTTGATTTTCTTTCTCTCTCTTAACTATTCTACTTTCCCTTGTAAAGCTAGCTACAACAACTATAAATCAGTTGAAGGAAGTTAGCCTGTTGGGCTTCATTTGTGGACTTCATGAACGTAAGAAATCAGAATTGGTTCTCTTGGGCCTAAACCCATTTTTTACGGTGGCACCCACTAATAAAGTCGTAGACACAGAATGATATTGAATGAACCCAGAGCACGCGAGCTCGGCTCAAATCGACCATTGTATGATGTAGGCTCCACGTGGAACCCAACATTTCACAGTGCACCTGGGAAATTGTTAATCCTAGAATTCATTCTTTACGCTGTGAATTCCCCTTTAGATTAAGTTAGGTTAGTAGTTGGCTAACTAAAGGTGGTTGGTTGTGATGGTTAGTCCAGCTCGCAGCACTAGCTTCGACAGAGGTGGCGGCATTGGAGTAAGTTGTCCTAGCGGTGGTGCTGACAACCACGGCGTGGCAGTGGCCGTGGGATTGGTGGCGCTCTCTCTATCGCCCCATTCCTGCCCTTTTTTTTCTTCTTTTTTTATCTTTTTCAGTTTTTTGTTTTTTTATCTTTTTCGTTTCTTATTTTGCCTTTTTTTTGTTTTATTAAACTTTAACTTGTAAACATAAATGAAAACCTAGACATAATTCTAATAGACACGTACAATAGGGTTTAATGAATGAAAAACCCCAATATGATTAAACATGAAAAGAGTTGAACAAAAGTAGTACTGTTAATTATATGTAACGCGTGGAAATTCTACTTAGCATCGGAAAAAGTGAAGCACAAAGTCAATTTGCCTCCTGTAAAGTCTTGGTCTTCCTGGAGATCATTAAAGTTTCTTTCAAGTTTTTCTAAACCTGCTCCACTTTTGCTTCAATGTCACGCGTGGAAATTCTCCACTTTTGCTTCACTTTCCAGACAAAAGCACACGATATCCAGTAAAGTCTTTGGGAATATTCTCAAAATATTACGAAACAAGCACTTGTGGACAAAAAATATTTTAAATTAATTTCTCCGATATGTGCATCTTTAAAAGTCTTGGTCTCCCTGGCAGGTGAAAGTCTTGGTCTTCTTGGACTTTTATAGTTTTCTCTCCCAAATTTCTTCATTAGCTCATTATCACTATGCTTCACCGGAATACATATTGTTCTCTACGGCAACTGATTTACCCATAGCCATTGGAGAGATCTTTTCCGTTCCTTCTGGGCTTTCTTCTTGTACTTTTTTCTAGTATTGTTAATTTTAAGCAAGACATGTTACGCGTGGAAATTCTACTATTAATGGAAAAAGAGACATTCACATAGAGATTGAAGAGGAGGGATGTGAAAAGTGAAGCGATGCAGCCATTTGCATCCCGGAAAGTCTTGGTCTTCCTGGATCTTACTCAAGTTACTTTCCCATTAGCTCTTTTTCACATTTGCTTCACTTTCTACACAAAAAAGGTACATGATATCAAGTAAAGTTTGGGTCTTCCTAATGAAAAGTTTTTTATTTGAGTATATTATTACGACACGCAGTTTGGGTTAGACCAAAGAGCAAATGTTTTGATGCACATTATGTCCTTGAGTTAGATAAATCAATTGTTCTCCTTTTTCTCCAAATCAAGACTTTCAGCTGTCATTCGAAAGAGAAGACCTTTTCTTGTGGCCATCCAAAACAGAAAATGAAACATGAAAATGCACGCCTATTTTCGTAAAAAATGCATTGCTTACGAGTGTTTTTGTTGCCTTTTTCTGCATCCATGTAGTCTCAGTATCCTTACGATTATAGTGCTAAAAATTCAAAGTAAGATGAGGAGCAATGATCTGCTAAAGGGTGCTACAGTAGTTGTTGATCATAGTGAATCGCTTGATAGGAGAATTGTGATCCTTTGAACGGAAAAAGTTAGCCCAAAGCAACTTGCTTAGTGGATTGGCTGGTGATTTGTGACTCGTTTAATATTTGAAGAGTAAAATAAAGCAACTTGCTTTATGGATTAGTTGGTGCGGCTGACCCGTTTTTCTTGTTTAGCCAAAAGCACGTGTTTCCGTTTTCCATATTGAAAAGACAAAGTTAGTCGTCTTTGTTGACTTGTAGATCTACAACAGAAAATAAGATGCCGTTATTGGGTGTATCCTCAATATCTTAGGTTTCAAATCGTTTATTTTAGTCGGTGCAAGTTGCGCGAAGATGCTTATTTGCCAATCCTAATAACTACAGTCAGCTTCATTCATCGTAAAAAAGAAAAAGGGTTAGCAGATCAACTAATCCATTAACTAAGTTGCTTTAATTTACTCTATGGAAATGGTAAACGAGTCACAAATCACCAACTCACAATGTATAATCTAGGGAAATGACACAAATTATACTTTGGATATCACACTGATGAATAGGAAAATCATGTTCAAAGGACCAAGAATCTCCTATTATGCGATTCGGGGTCATCAACTACTATCTTAGCAGCTACTACCTTAGCACCCTTCAACAGATCATTGCCACCCATCTTTTTGCGAATATTTAGCATTGTAACTATCACATAAAAGTGTTTATGGATTGTGTATTCACCAATAAAGCAGAAAATAAAGACATTGGAATCATAAAGATATTGAGAATATATCGATGCTAAAAAAAGCCAACGAAACAGTTGTGAGTGATAGCACTTTTGACGAAAATATGCATGCACTCTAGGTCATGTGAAGACTCTGTTTTGGATGGCCAAAAGTAAATTGTCCGACAGCCAAAGGTCTTGATTTGAAGATAAAGGAGAGCAAGCACTTGTGGACAAAAATTATTTTATTTTGATTTGTCCAACCTTTGATGTGCATCCCTTAAAAGTCTTGGTCTTTCTTTAACATTTTTGGTAGTGGAAGATCTTGGTCTTCCTAGACTTCATAGTTGTCTCTCTCCTCATTTTCACTTTGCTTCACCATAACACCTTTGTTGTTCTCAACACTGACTGATTCACCCATGGCCATAGGAGAGATAGTTGTGGGTTCCTTCTTGGCTTCCTTCTTTCAAGTCCTGTTTGACAAGTTGACTTCTCTAGCATTGGGCTATGCGCAGCGGGAAGGAATTAGCACTGCCCCGCTTGAGGAGTGGAAGGAGATGCTGGTCACAATCGATGCAGTGCTGGCTGATGCAGAGGACAGGCAACTCGATGGTAACCGTCTAGTGAAGTTGTGGCTGGATGATGTTAGGGACTTGGCCTATGACATGGAAGACTTTCTAGATGAGTTTGCATTCAAAGCTGCTCAGGTTAAGTCGGAGGCAGAATCCAGCACAAGCATAGGTTGGGTGAAATGGAAGTTCTCTTGCTTTGGCCAACATAAATCCTCTAAGTCGAATCCGACCCCATGCTCTCTCGTGTCTGAAACCAAGGTCCAAGAGATCAATGGCAGGTTGGAAGCAATTGTCACCAAGAAGGCTCGTCTAAGCTTAAGAGAGAATGTTGCGGATAGATCCAACTACACCAACAAAAGGGATCCCACCTCTTCTTTGCCAGAGCCTCGATTTTTCGGTAGGGAGAAGGAAGAAGCACAGATACTTGAACTATTGCTCAGCGAGGTCAAAAATTCTGATGCCACGCTGAGCATAGTCCCCATTGTTGGGATGGGCGGCGTTGGAAAGACGGCCTTGGCTCAACGGCTATATAATGATTCCAAAGTGAAAAGCCATTTCGAGAGGAGAGCATGGGTTTGTGTGTCAGATGTTTTTGATGTTCTTGACATAACAAAGACTATTTTGCGGTCGATCACCGGGTTGTCCTGCGAAGGCGAAGATCTTGATGGGCTTCAAGTCAAGTTGAAGGACAATTTATATGGAAAGAAGTTTCTTGTGGTTTTAGACGATGTCTGGAATGAGAACTATGGAAAATGGACTAACCTCTTAAAGCCATTTGAAGCGGGGGCCAAGGCAAGCAAGATCATCATCACGACTCGCAACCTTCCTGTTGTTTCCGTAAGAGGAGCTTCGCCGTATCCTTTGGAGGAGCTGTCCCTTGATAATTGTACAAGCTTATTAGCCTTTCATGCTCTTGGAGCAACAAATTTTGAGAGCCATCCATATCTTGAAGCAATAGGCAAGGAATTAGCTGAAAAATGTAAAGGCTTACCTTTGGCAGCGAAGATGTTGGGCGGCGCCCTATGCAATGAAAGGAATCCGGATAAATGGAAAGCTATATTAAATAATAGAATATGGGATCTTCCGAAGGGAAAAAAAGATGAGGTTCTCCCAATTTTGAAATTGAGCTATGTCCATCTTCCTTCTTACTTGAAGAGATGTTTTGCTTATTGTGCGGTGTTTCCCAAGAATTACGAAATTGAGAGGGATGAGCTAGTACTCTTATGGATAGCGGAGGGGTTTTTAGATGGACAAAAAGAAAATGAGGATATCTTGAGATTGGGATGGGATCACTTTGACGAGTTAGTATCTAGATCATTTCTTCAACAATCGAGGGTCGACGCATCTAAGTTTTCGATGCATGATCTTCTGAATGATCTAGCAAAGTCAATTGCGGGGGGGACATGCTTTAGCTCAGAGGAGTCGTTGCTGGCAACTAATGAAGATGGTGCGTCTCTTGAAAAAGCTCGGTATGCATCATTCATCTCGACGTTGTTTGTTACATCAAAAAGCTTGAGAGCATATGAAGGCATGAAGGTACTAAGAAGTTTAATGCTACTGCATGATAGATTTAGTTGGAAAGACAAATTCCATATTTCCAATAAAGTGCTACATGATTTGCTAATAAAATTGGAATACTTGAGGGTATTCTCGTTATGTCATTGTTCCATCATAGAGGTACCAAATTGTGTTGGCGATTTAAAACATCTTCGATATCTCAATTTCTCGTACACAGATATTGAAAGGCTACCGGAGTCAATTGTTGCCTTGTACAAATTACAAGTTTTGATCTTAAGAGGTTGTCGCAAGCTTTCTATGTTGCCTCTAGGGATCGCAAAAATTGTCAACTTGCAGTTTCTTGACATTAGAGATACAAAAAGTCTAAAAGAGATGCCATTGGGTATCGGTAATTTGAAGAATCTTACTATCTTGTCAAAGTTTATGGTAGGGCCAAAGAAAGGATCACAGATAAAAGAGTTAAAGAACTTGTCACATCTTCAAGGAGAATTGTTTATATCAGACTTGCAAAAGGTGGAAGAAGTTAGAGATGTAGTTGATGCTAACTTGATTGGAAAGCAAGGCCTTAATAAATTATTCTTGCATTGGGGTGACAATTTTGGAAACATCCGGAATGATGAGCGTGAAGCACTGGTGCTTCGCTCTCTGCGACCTCACACTAATATTGAAAATCTCACTATCTCCGACTATGGTGGTGCAATATTGCCGTCATGGTTAGATGATCCATCCTATTCTAAAATGGTGTCTTTATGCTTGCGGGATTGTCCTAAAGTTACATTGCTACCGTCACTTGGACAGCTACCTTCACTTAGAGAATTATCTCTTGAAGGTTTAAATGCAGTAAGCATGATAAGCTCTGAATTTTATGGAGGTAAAAGGCCTTTTTCATCCTTAATAACTTTGAAGTTCGAAGAGATGTGGGAATGGAAGGATTGGTATGCTAAGGGCCCAGAAGAAGAAGTGACATTCTCCTGTCTTCAGCATCTTGTTGTCCGGAGTTGTCTTTCGTTGGTCGGGACATTGCCTTGTCAACTTGATCATCTCACAAAGCTTGAAATCCATTCATGCCCTCATTTGAGTAACTCAACCGGTGTGGTTTGTGTTCCATCTCTCCGTGAGTTATACCTTGAGGATTGTAACAAGGATATCTTAAAGAGTTTTGTAAACCCAACTTCTTTAACCATTTTCAAAATTAGGAATCTTGCAGAGCTTGTTTGCTTTGATCATGGGTATATGAACTGCTTGGTCAAGCTAAAGGAGCTTCATATAGGACAGTGTGACAAGCTAACATACTTGTGGCAAGATGGAAATGAAACGCAAGATCTTACTTGCCTTCAGAGTGTAGTCATCAATAGTTGTCCTCAATTCATATCTTTTGTGGCTGGAAAAGAAGAGATAGAGCTGCCCTACAACCTTGAAAGGATGGAATTGAGGGATTGCATGAATTTAGAAAAGCTTCCAAGCAAGATGCACACACTCAAACATTTGAGCATTTGGAATTGTTCTAAACTCATAGGACTAACCATTCCTCTAGATGACCCCAGCAGCAATAACTCGATATCTCAACTTGAATATTTGAAGATAGATGAATGTGATTCTCTGACATCCTTTCCCTTTGCCAAGCATAGACTTTCTACTCTGAAGACACTTTATATTTGCGGGTGCAATGGGGTAGAGTCGTTGGAAGAGATCACTGTAGTGTCGCTTGATACTTTGGGTATTGCTAGCTGTAAAAAATTGGGAAGCCTACCACAATGCCTTCACATGCTCTCCCATCTCACTCAATTGGAAATATTTAACTGTCCAACATTGGAGATAGAGGACTTCCCTCCCGTTCCCATCACCCTGTCACTTTTATCTCTTATTGAATGTCCGAAGATAAAGTCTCTACCAAAGCAGTGGCATCATCTCACATTCCTCCAAGAGCTATATATTAGCGCTTGCGAAAGTATCAAATGCTTCCCCAAAGGAGGTTTGCCTCCCAATTTGCGGCGGCTTGTAATTTTAGGGTGTGAGAATCTGAAGCAGCCAGTAAGAGAGTGGGGCTTACACCTGCTCACATCCCTCTACCATCTGTCGATTGACTTCAGTATGGGAGGTGAGGGAGAGAAGGTGTGGTTTCCTTCGGAGGATGAGGATGCCTGGAGTCTTCTCTTTCCTTCCTCTCTAACCTATCTTTGGATATGTAATATGAGGAACGTGGAAAGACTATCAAGCGGTTTTCGCAACCATCTCTCGTCTCTCAAATGGTTAGTCTTTATAATTTGCCCGAAGTTGAGGTACTTACCGGCGGATGGCCTTCCTCCCTCCCTCCAAGTATTGGGGATAGTAAAATGCGAGATTCTGAAAGATCGATGCTCAAAAATTACTGGCCTCTATTGGCCCCTCATCCAAGAGATCCCTCTCATCGACATTGATCGGGTTCGGATACAATGAATAGCAATCGATTACACCCGAACCATGATAAAAGACTTGTCTCCGTTGACTACAATAAGGTTTTCTAAGGTTCGGGTAAGTTTTTGGTTTTGAATGCATCAATTTCGAATTTGCTTCCTCAATTCGATGCGTGGTACAAACTGATTTTTTTCCAATGGAGATGTTTCACAAAAATTTCCAAAAACCAGCCACTGAAGGTCAAAAACTGACATTTGGGTGGGTGTTCTTATTGGGTTGGATCAGCCCTAGATCATTCACCCTGCTTGTTTTGCAGATAATATTGCGATATGTATTGGCAAAATCTCTTGGAAGGATCACTTGCGAAGACTGTCAATGTAACGTGTCGTTTTCTGCAATTTAACCACCCCCAAAAAAAAGGAAACGTTTAATTTTATCTGGTGCACTGATATGTTCTATATTTTCTTTTAGTATATATGATCTAAATAAGAATAATATTTTTCAAAATCTATTGTGGAAGCTGTGATATGGTTGTGAAGAAAGGGGATGCATTTTTTTTTTTTGGGTTTTCTTATAATCGAGAACCTTCTTTTTGTTGATGATGATCCTTCGTAGTATTAAGCAGACGATCTAGGATAAAATTTTGGGGCAGCTCGTGGCTCCAAGCTTTCAATAGAACTCCAATTCATGATAGCATTGGTATTTGCATAAATCACCTTATGTTTGGGTCTTGATCTCTGGTGGGTTAGGAACTAAGACTTACAGCTTGCTAGAATTTTTTAGCAAATATACTTATGCTCGTTTGGTTGAGATTGTAACGATATGCTGTCTGCCTCTGTGTTTGCATTGTCAACAGTGACCTCTGGGCAAATCTATTCGGTTCTTTAAAGCATCATTTGTTTGTTTTTTCTTCACTGCAGAATATGATTTCGTCATACTATTATGTCACTCTATCTGGAAAATACCTTCTCATGTGGCATTTTTCCTGCAGAGAGTTCCGGAACAAAAGCTTCAAGCTCACTTGGGTTTCTTTGGTGTAACTGGAAATCTTGCGCTTCAACCAATGTGTAACTTGTCTGGTACATCTCCTCCCTCTCTACAACTGCTGCATATGTTTTTTTGTTGAAGCAATTTTCTTATGACATTGTGAAGCTCTATTAGAGGGTAGTTAATTTGTAATCTGAATTGTGGTTCATTGTCTACTTTATCCGAGGCTATTTGGATGTTATTGCACATATAACATGGTGCTTTGATCATACAATTAGGTGGTCAGAAAAAGCAGAGTTGCATTTGCCAGGATAACGTTCAAGAAACCTCACATAGTTATGCTCGACAAGCCATCCAATCATCTGGTAAGTTTACTCTTTTTTCTCCACCTTACGACTTCGATTACTTTTTCAGTTAGCTTGTTATTTTTCTTGCACTAATTGAACTTATCGGAATCTAGTCTCTACATTTAAAATACAGTAGAACCAATCAGTGATCATAGCTACAGGGAGCCTCTGCCATCTTACATCCAACTTATAATGGAACATAAACCAATCTAACTGTTTCAACTGGAAAAATATTGGGATCAAAACATTTATGCTAGCCTGATCAGTGTTTTTGTATTACAGTAGTCTATAGTACCAAGTAGTTCGGGTATCTGTGCCTATAGGCAGTATTGGACTTTAAGTTCTGCTTTAATGACCAGTGACTACTAAAGTGTTACCGTTGTAAATTGTTAGTTTCTTGTCTAAGGATAAATAGAGCATGACTCTGCATTTTTTACTATCCCCAACCATAGGATTTGGATGCGATTGAGGCGCTCATTCAAGGTCTTGTTCCATGGAGGGATTCTGGTGGTGAGATTGATTTCTTGCCAAAATACTTAAATTAGATGATCGATGGATCGTCTTCACAGCTAATAGGCCTCTTTTCACCTTGATTTGCAGGTTAGTCACGATGAGCATCTAATATCTGGAAGCATGGACGAGCTCTGGGGGGTTCCTCAAGGCAAGGTGGCGCCTTCCCTTGGGGATTTCCAGCATTTACAAGATACTTCAGTCCTGTAGAATCAGACGAGTTTAGCTCTTGTCATCGGCAAAGAGTGGTTCACCGGGGTCACATTACCTTACCAAAACAGAAAATGAGTCTTAGCTACAGAGAGAAACCGAAAAAGGACACAGAGGATGGCTGCTGATATAAGACGCACTCACAGTTACATCGGCCCTCGTTTATCACTTGAACTTGATTAGGGCTCGTGGAAGGATGAGTCTCAAGTTTTTACACTGAGCATGCAGTATCATTTGCCCATAGCTTAAGAGGCAACTGAGGGTCTATTTTACGAGAAGTTAGCTGGACAGAAACATTTTGCCCATTTTTTTTGTTTGGCGCTGTTAGGAGAATTATATGAGAAATATTTTCATGGTCAACAAAAAATTTGCACTTTCAACGCTGAAGTACAAAATTCCGCATAGATACCTGAATCCATTAGATAATATCTTGTTCAGGTCAATATTCAGAATATGAATGCTTTCTTTCTTCCAATAACAACTACTGTACAGATGGAAGAATAGAGTGAAAACAGAGGTTTTGAATACGCAGATATAATAGCTAAGTCCTGAATGGACCCGGCACATCAAAACCCATATACGAACTATGGCCTAGTTCATCTTTCTTCTATATACCCACTCCATCTCTTGACAACCTTTGAAGCAATCCTACATATTATTTTTCGTGTGCAGGAGGGGGGAGGCAGGAAAGATTAATCACTATAGCTAATCTCAGGATGTTATGTTAAGGATTCCGCTTATTCTTTGAGATACTTTTATTTCGAGAAGGTCGTCACTCAGTAACACACGACTCATTCTTTGGAAATAGGTGCGCGCTGTCACTATTAATCCCATCAATGTGCCAATGGTCCAGGATCAATCGTCCCGTAGTGATTATTAACCCCATCACTTTCCTCCACACGCTACCATCACAAATGGTTTCAATCTCGCGACCTCACTTTTGTAGAGTAGCAGCCTGTACCAATAAGTCACAATCATCGGTTATTAGGGGGTCTCCCATACTTGTGGGTTAACATAATCATAAGATTTATTCAGCGAAAAAAAAAATCATCCCAAAGGGTCACTAAAATTTTCTTTGTCTGATCACTCTTATAGTTTTGTTATTATGCGTGAAAGATGATTTTAATTCAGGACTATTTCCGGCCTTTTTAATCTTCTTATGTTCATCTCGTGCCATATGTTATTCTTCAAGTTGAAGAATCTCCAATACAAATGACAGCTTGGTTCAAATTGTTTTGATTAATGAAAATGGCGAGTAGCGAAAGCCAGGGAATTTAAGAAAAAATCTGGGGCTTTTACTTTGTTTTCAATACATTTGTTTTTATAATTTTTGTGACTGAATCATTTTGGAGTTGGTTGTTACTTGAAGTAAGAAATTCAAGTATCATCCTCGACCCAAACACCATAAATTCCCCAAAAAGAAAATGGATCCTATCACAAAAAACCCAAATTTGGTATATTTATAATAAATTTAACCAAAACTAATTTTCTGACAACCAAAAATCCCAAATTGATACACCTATGACAATTTTACCCACCGTTAGTTTTCGTTAAATTTTATCATCAAATTTCTGAGTTAAATGACACGTGGTAGTTGACGGGTGTATCAGTTTGGGGTTTTACCCTTTGCTTGTCACATGTGTACTAGTTTGTGATTTTTCGTTGTATTAATTCAATTTAACGGAAGATAAATTTATCACAAATATATAGATTTGGGGTTTTTGATGGTCAAAAAAATAGTTTGGAGTAAGATTGTGATAAGTGTATCAGGTTGGGATTTTTTGTGATCAAAAAAATAATTTAGGGTAAATTTATTATAAATTTACCAGTTTAGGATTTTTCATGATATTAACCAAAAGAAAACAATTATCGCACCAGAGACCAAAGGGCTATTACCCTCATCCACAATTGGGGTAAATTGGTAAAAATAATCATTGGAGAAAGAAAATTTTTGACGCAATAAAAGTTGCCCATTCTAGAATTCGGAAACCGGTCATGATCCTCGTCCCACTGCCGTGGTGCTGCCGGCATCGGCATGGCGGCGGACACGTGGTTATGCAACGGCTCCGGCGGTTTTTTCCGGCGCGCTCCTCTCCGGGACGGAGCGACGCGGTTCGACGACTTCCTGCGAATCTGCAAGGAGATGGGAAGAGCACGAGAACGTGACAACTGAAAAGTAATGTCTTCGCGCGTGGGCCGCACGCCCCTTCTTTTTCCTATTTCTGTATTTCCAGTTTTGTCCCTGGCCCGATTCCATAGCAGACCTGCCCCTTGCGAGGGACACGTGAGAGGACGAAAGAGAAAATCGATTTCCAGCGAAGGAAAATGACAGAGAATTTGATAAAAGAATTTAAAAAAAAAGGAGGAAGGAAAATGAATTTTTGCTAATTTGTCTTTAATTTGGATGATTGGATTGATACTATGCTCATTTAATCAAGGGGGAGAATGTAATTAACGACTTAATTTGTTCTTCTTGGACCACCAAGGACTTAGATTATTCATGGGTCCTAAGATTCTAAATAAAATCATGATTTGGGGCGGAATCTCAAGGATTAAGTTCATGGCCCTCACTTTATTTTAAACCGGAGAAATAGGATCTAATCTTATTCTTATCCCATTATCCCCAAATTCGCCATGTTTGTGTTGCGCATGGTGTTGCGAGACATTATTTTGGTTAAGCAAGGTCATGATCGTAAAGGATAACTAGTTACTTAGCCGGCGATTTACTTGGGCATGTCTATATGCATATTTTTGAAATTATTAGAGATTTATTAATATGAGATGTGATGGAAGAGAAAAATATGACATTTCGTATAATTTATTTTATTATTTTGTGAAAGAGTACCATACTTTATGAAGGCCTAAGATTAATATGCGGCAGAATTAGACGCTATAATGTTAAGATTTTTTAATACATGAAAAATAAATGCAAAAGATTTTTTTAGTACACAATAAGGAAAGCTATTTTTGAAAAATGTTTATTCAAAAAGTAAAAATAAATATAAGTACATTATAAATGATCTACTTTTTAACTAAATGGCCACGCAATCTTATTATGTTTAAATATTTTATTGCATGTTTGAAATAAACATTATTGTTTCTATAATGATAAAGTAGTGGGAGTTATTTATTCTGTTTATAAATTAGCTATATCTTTGGGGAGGGCAGTTCCGAGAAGGAGAGGGTCGTTAGCGAAGCCATAAAAATAGAATCTTTACTAAAAGCTCTAAGTGAAGTATGGGAAGATGTAATGGAAGGTTCGAGATGGGTAGTGGTTAATGGTGTTGGCGTGAGCTGTATTTCCTACAAAATAGGGATTTTTTTCTTTTTTTCCTTTATTACAGTTTTTTTCCTGATTTATTGAGATGCTAGGATCATTCCCTGTATTGTATATAAGAAATATTGTAATGCTGTACATTATGATTTAATATAGAGAAAAATATTCTTCTACATGATATCAGAGCATAGGGTTCGCTCCTTGTGAGTAATGTACGTTAATCCCCGATTACGGCGATCCCGCTTTGTCTGCTCGTCTTCTTCACTGCGCCGTTGTCTCCATGGTGGATGAAAACCCTAGAGGAGCAGTGATTCCCTGCAAAAATCAAGAGGGGAATTCGACCACAGAAGCGTTTTTGGAGAATCTGACCACCAGATTGATTCAGATTCTGACTCAGAATCAGAATCCTCCTCCTCCAACTCCAACACCAACACCACAGAATGATTCGGCTTCATCTCAGATTGCAATTAAACCTCGTCTTCTTCACTGCGCCGTTGTCTCCATGGCGGATGAAAACCCTAGAGGAGCAGTGATTCCCCACCAAAATCAAGGGGGGAATTCGACCACAGAAGCGTTTTTGGAGAATCTGACCACCGGATTGGCTCAGCTTTTGACTCAGAATCAGAATCCTCCTCCTCCACCTCCAGCACCAACACCACAGAATGATTCGGCTTCATTTTAGATTGCGATTAAACTGGATGGAACCAACTATGGCTTATGGTCTCGGGTTGTCGAGATGTACATCACGAGGCAAAGACAAGAAGGGTATATCAATAAAAAATCCTGTTTTTTCAAAAAAGAAAACCGAGGACTCGACTATGAAAGGATGGCTCATCAAGTCCATGGATCCGGCGTTAATTGGCAATTTTATCAGATTCTCTACCGCTAAAGTTGTGTAGGATTCCGTAGTTGCCACTTTCTTTGATGGCACCGATACTTCCTAGGCGTATGATTTAAAGCGCCAGGTATCACGACTCAAGCAAGCTGGAGGACCAATCGAAAAATACTACAATGATCTTCAAGGATTCTGGCGTGAAATTGATTTCTGCAGACCTAATCCTATGGTGTGTCCTGCAGATATTGAGCGCTACAATAATGTTGTTCAAGAGGATAGGGTTTACCTTTTCTGGATGGATTTGATGATCGTCTCGACAAGGTTCGTGCAAATGCAGCCTTTCCCCATAGTTGAGGAAGCCTACGCATGCGTCCGTAGGGAAGATGTGCGCCAAATCGTGATGCTGACCAATGCCGATGGCTTTCCTACGGGTACAGCAATGGTCTCACGGGGCAGTCGAGGAGACTCGTCTCTGCAGTTGATGGCAGGCAGTTCGGTGGGTAGAGGTGGGCGCTCTCGGTCTGCTATTAAGGCCAAGTCTCAGGTGCCCGGCGGCTATTCACACTGTGGCGATTCCAAATACACTAGGGCTTGTTTTAGGCATGGCGGATTGGTGGGACAATTTCAGGAAAATCGAAGTAGGCGGGCAAGAGTGCGGGACGAACCCCATCCTCGAATCCCTGTGGTCGAAAGGCGACCTCCGCCGGCTAAGCCGCACGGCTACTGGCCAGGGACATACGGCGCTATGGTCGGATGGAGGAAGCAAAAAAAAAAAAGAAAAGGAAAAGGAAAAGAAAAAAAAACAGAAAAAAAATCTAACCTGTTCCGAAGTTCACACTTGGCTACGAACCGAACCTGCT